CGAAAGATGTTCCTGCCATACCCGTGGATCAGGGTAAGTAACTTGGCTTCTGGGCAGCGATACGACATCTGTGCCAACAGAAAGTGCGGCGTAGGTTTGGAAGTATCTGCTGGCTGGTGCTGCTGTCTAAGACTGTTGAACCCAGGGAGCTAAATGTGCTTCATCCTTAAGAAATGCATCCTGCACAGGGAAAGCTAGGCTGGGAGCAGGCAGCACCACCAGCTTGCCCTGTCCTTACACCCTCCCTGCACTGCCCAACAGCTCCCCAAGATGGGACGGGAACAGTTTGTCCCCCCCGGGGTGGCTCATGGGTGGGTCAGGGGCTCACAGCTTTGCCACGCCAGGTGGGTCTGCAAAGCAGGAGCCTTCCCCTCCTCAGCCTGGCTCAGCACCCACGAGTAGGTGGATGCAGTTTCTATTTTTCAGTCCTGATCTTTGGGTTGTTTCTTCATTAATGTCGCTGCTGTCATATTTTCTTCTCCCATAACCAAAATGCTACTTGCTTCAAACTGATTTTCTCCTTGGCGTCCTTCCAGGTGTCAACTGTACTTCCCTGCTGATATCTTTGTATTTCTAAGGCATTATATGAAGCCTGAGAGTTGGTGAACACTGGTGTTAGGACTAGCCTAGACTTACCCCCAGCAGCTTGGGAAGAGCAATCTGCTTTTAATTAACCCGGTGCTGAGGCTCCTAAAGATGATGCCCTCATTTCCAGCATTGTCTCCTATTCTAGTCTTGAGCTGCTTCTCAGACTAGACCGAATGAGTATTTTTATGCTGGAGACAGAATCCTTTAGGGAACAGGATAGGATTCCAAAATCATTTCAACTGTGACTCAAGGGGACTTTTAGACCCCATGTCTCCTTTGCTATCAAGCCTAGTTTGGAGGCACTGCTGGACAGAGCCAGCCCGGCACCCCGGGGTGCTCGAGGGCAGGGTCTGGTGGAGGGGGGGCTGTGCTCAGCCCCCAGCTTGGGGAACTGCTGGTGGGGATGCTGATGGCTGGGAGAGCAGGGAGATGAAAGCATCCCGACTTCCACCCTCTACCCTCTGCGCTGGCAGGCGGGCAGTGGGTGCCCCCCAGGTCTGCGGGTTTTTCCCACGTTCCCGCTGGCAGAACTGACGGGCTCTGGTTTGCATCCCCAGACTGGTTCGGTGTGGTGCTGCAGCTCAAGTCGCGGGAGACGGGGAGGACCTTTGTCAGCACGGAGTTCAAGTTCTACAACTGCAGTGCCCACCAACTGTGAGTGCTCCCTCCCTGAGCCAAGAGGAAAAAGGGCTGGGAAATGGGTGCTGGGCTCTGGGACCAGCAGGGTGGGCGGTTATCCCTCTGCTTGGCTCAGCCAGCAGACACCTGCGGTAGAAGGGGAGCCCCCCGGTCCCCGTCTTCTCTCAACTTCTCTGGGTGCATGTGGAGCTTTCTCTGCCTTGTGAGACGCCGGCGAGCGAGCTTGAAAAAACCTTAACCTGCTGGTGCCCCCAAGCTGCGCGATCCCGCAACTGTGAACTCAGATGCATCTTCACAGGCAGCTGGTGAAGGCCGAGCAGAGGGGCCGGGGAGGTGGGCAGCAGGCAGCGGGGAGGTGGGCTGCAAGGAACTGGAGGAGGCAGAGCCCTTCACGCTGCGCCAGCCAGGAGAGCAGGGTGCTGGCTGCTGCAGGGTGCTGGCTGCTGCGAGGATGCTCCACGGGGTGATGGAGGAGAGCATGGATGCTGGAGAAGGCAGCAGCAGGGACTGACCTGGATGTCTCCAGCCCCAGGGTTGTGTTTTAGATGGAGTGACCTGGCAGCAGGAGCTCCTTGCAGCCTGCCCATCCCCGAGAGGCATGTGGGGCAGGCACAGGGGGCTGCTCCATGGAAGGGCTGGGGGTCTCCGTGCCACTGAGCCTCGTGGAAATGTGTCCCCTGTGGGCATATCTGCTGCCAGGAGCTGAGGTTTGAATCAGGAGAGGCAGTGCATCTTTTCTGGCCTGTCATTCGCCTTCATCTGACCATGCCTTTCTACCAGCTTGTGTTTGGAGATAAAGCGCTAACGCTGTGGTAAATTCTGCAGCACTTACATCACACCGGAGTCGTTATCAGTGAGTTCAACAAGGGCACACGCCAGCCTGGCAGGAGTGAATCACAGCATGCAAAAAGGAGGAGGGAATAGGAGCCTCAGGCGATGGAGAAGAGAGACCTATTAATCCTGAGACTCTTCATTGTAACCACGAGGGTCTCTAGAGAAAGCAGGGGGGCAGCCATGCCCTTTGTGGCTGGGCAGGAGGGGAGGAGTGGTTGTGGTGTATGAAATGCGTACGCCCTGGGAGGTGGCATTAGGCTGAGAGGGGCAGGAAGGGTTTGGGGCTGGACAGGAACATACTGCTTTTGCAGACTGGTTCTGTGAAAGCTCCTGTGCTGGTTCCAGCTGTTGTGAACCCAGGGGCTGAGATGGTTCCGCACTCAGGTACGTAGATTCTCGTGTTCCCAGGGAGCTGCAGGTGGGTCAGGGAATGTGGCTTGTGTTAAGTGAACATATGATGTAGAGACATGCACTTTCTGAGGCAAAAGAGAGACAGCGGTCCTCAAGAAAGCTGGATTGGAATGAGACCTCAGCCAGGGCTGAGCAGAGCTGAAAGCAGCAGCCAAAAAACCACGGTGCAGTGAGAGGTGCTGCACCAAGCCATTGGCCTGGGTGGCCAGAGAGGTTCTCCTCCCTCGAACCCAGGTGGGGGAAGCAGAGAGCTCCACCTGCACCAGATGGGAAAGCCAGAGGCCAGGGCCAGGCCAGGTGAGAGCAGGTGGGAGAAGTGCTGCAGGCTGGAATGGAGACAGAAATGGGTCAAACAAATGAGTAATTAAATAAGCTTGCAGCACTTCTTATTCTTCCCCGGATTCGCATGTGCATGATTGGAATAAGCCTCCTTTGCTATTAAGGTCACTACGAATGCATCAGAAGGAAAACAACTGAGTTATTAAAATGTGTGTTCCTGTGGCAGCAGCCCACGAGAGGCACTGCCCGGGCACGTCCACTCAGCCGGCTCTGCCCAGGGACCCACTTTCCTCTTTCTCCAGAGTTTCTTGCCTATGGCCACACTCCCACTTCTCTGGCAATGCTCGGGTGACCCCGGGCCCGCTCCATCACATCCCAGCAGAGGAATCCTGTGGGCACAGCTTATACTTCTGCCAGCGGACGGTCACCAAAACGCCGCCACGTGCTCGGAGGGTTGGCCTCGGGGATGGAGGGAGGTGGTTTCTGCAAGTATTAGCAGCTGTCACGGAGCGTGCGTCTAACTGACAGCCAGTCTGTGTGGATTCAAACCACCCACTGGCGGCTGGGCCACCCCGTGTCTGAGAAGGGTCTGTGTTCTTTCAAAAACCTTTCATAAACAGTTTATTTCCTCCAGCGTGGATCAAAAGCGCTTGCTGGACTCTGCGCTCCAAGGCCAAGCAGAAGTGTTACTGTTGTCTTGAAACATTTTGGACTTGTAAAAGAACTGATCTAACGTTTGCCAGGCTTGCCTTGTTTTCCACTTTCTAGAAACTAAAAGCCAAGCCTGGGGTCTGTGCAACGCTGTGCTTTTATGCCAGCACAATGATGTGCATTAAATCCTAGCCTGTATTTTATTACACAATGGATTGTGAGGTTCCTTAAAGACTGTCTTTTGAGTGCGTGTTTTCCCAAGCCCGTTTGTTAGAAATTATTTTCCCACCAAGAACCTCTGGCTGGGCCTGCCTGTTCCCCTGTAGCACTCCCCAGGTGATAACCTCTCCTGACTCCTCCTTTCTCCCCGCAGGTGCCTGTCCTGTGTGAACAGCGCGTTCCGCTGCCACTGGTGCAAGTACCGGAACCTCTGCACCCACGACCCCACCACGTGCTCCTTTCAGGAGGGACGGATCAACGTCTCTGAGGTACTGAGCTGGCCTTACAGCTCTTTCTTCTTTGCTTTTCCATGCCACAGTCAGCACAACCAATGCTTCTGTGGAGTTCTGACTTTCCGAGGGTCGGGGCTCCTCTCTTGGCTGGCATCAGAAAGCGCAGATGCAGCTTTAAAGGAGCTGGAAGGTGTCAGTTGAGCTAAAGCGCGGTGTTCCTTGACCTGGACACCCAAGGCAGTCTCACCTCTGGTGTGTGGGTGTGCTCAGGTTCAGTAACAGCTCTGCTTGCTCTAGTGCTTTCTCCCCAAAGACCAGCGCATTTCAGCAACTCTGCTTTACGCACAGGCCCTGCAGGGATTTGCGTGACGCAAGCAGCGAGCCACGTGCAAGGTCTTGGTGGGACTCGTTCAGTGGGTTGTGTTGGCGGGGCTGAAATTTGTGGCAGGAGCCTGCCTGTAGGGTGAATTAAAGGGAATTACAGATGTGAAAAACCCCAGACACTGGAAAAGCCTCATGGTCAGATGAAGCTGCCAGGCTGCTGCTAAACCGATAGCAAACCTGAAATGTAGCTCGTGGGTTTTTCTGGTTAAAATGCTGCCCGGAGACACGTAGATAGGAGGCAAGAAATGTTAATGAACTCGTGTGTACGTACTTCAGTGGGAATCGGTGAGAGCCACGGGCTGGGCAGCGCAACTGGGAGCCAGCGCCGTCTTCTGCAGCCGCGGAGAGCTGCCCCGTGCGGCGAAGGAGGAGAAGTGTCCACCCTGGGGACAAACCAAAAGCTTTCTCGATCCAGTTCAAAGTCAAGAAGCTTCCTTTCAACGTAACAAGAGAAAGCAAAACCCTTTGCTTTTCCTTCTCTCAAGCGGATTTTTTTTCTCCTTCGTGCTCAAAGCATGTCTGCCTTCCCAGGCTTTACAGTTGTAGTTCTCAGTTTTATAGGACTCCAACCCCACGATCTCAGAAGTGTTTGACAAGTCTCTGGTAAAGTAGGACAATCCCATTATCTCCGTTTTTCTCCTGGGAACGCACAGGACTTGCCCGAGTTCACACAGAGGCAGCGAGTGGAGGAGTTGGTCTCTCCGCCGGTTCCTGCTGGGATCACAGGACTGTCACGTCTCCAAAGAGCTTCCTCTCTCATCTTCATCGTGTAGATGTTGTCCCTTACCAGGGGACGTTACGGGATATCTAACACCTCCCTGGTGATTCCTTTTGATAAGGGCTGATGATAACGATACAGATGCTCCAGTGTTCCTCACGGCTTCTCCAGACCTCTGAACACCCAGGCAAAACCACCAAACCCCAGTTTTTTGGTTTATTTAAGGCAAATGAGTTGCCGCTTGCATAATACCCTTATTATGGGCATTTCACACGGGCTAACGCAAGACATGAAATAAAGGCGTCGTAAAGAGTTTCCTCTCCCAAAACAATCGAGATCACGGTGTTCCCATTGTGTCACGGCCTGATGTATTAGCAAAATGCTTGTGCTTACCAGCATCGCTCCCTTCCTCGCTGAGAGCTGCTGGTGACCACGTCCGCTGCGGAGGGAGCGGCGCCAGCGCCCGCTGCCCTACTTCCAGTCCCACCTGCCTCTTCTCGTGTGAGGTTTGCACGCCTGCTTGCACGACGCTGGAAGTTTTCTCATGCCGTTATATTTAAAGAGAAAAATATCTTGAATATTCCCTTTTACTCCTGGCCCGTCAGAATTCACGTCCCAGCGGGATTCGGTGTGTAGCGAACTCCTTTTGATGCTCGTAGGAGTCTGTCTTGAGAAGGGAGAAGAGCTCAAAGCCTCAGCGACTTTCCAAGGTGAAAAGGAAAGCCCTCGTGAATGGTGCACTCACCCCTTGCAGTGTTCTGGCTGTACTGACCGAGCTAAACGCTGGCTTTTTGCTCTGCTTTCCATGAAAATACAAGCGAGAGGACGTTCCCACCTGTAACCTGGCTGTGCTCAGAGGAATCGCTGCCGTCCTCGCCTCTGGTGCACAACGAGTTGGTTACGAGTGAGAAATAGGCTCTCCAGCCCGCCGTGCTTTGCGTGCCTGTAAATACCACGATCCTTCTTAAATTAACGGCGGAGACCCGGGTTACAGCAGCCTCATCCAGAGCTCGGGACGAAAGGGCAGCGGGCAGGAATTTACCGCTGCGAAACGTCTCGCTTCGGTTGCCTTTCTTCTCATGTTTGGTTTCTAAGGAGCAAGGTCTGCTCCCCTTTCCAGTAGCATAAATGAAGAATAATGTGTTTCCATGAGTGACGGCAGCTGTAATTTATATCATTGGGAATACAGCTGTGAGCCAGGGGTTTACATTCATCTGCCAGATTCGTTTATGTTTATAACTTTAAAATATGTGTAGCAAGTTAACATTTATGGAGGGATGTGGGTTTTTTTAAGAGGAAAACTACAAACTGTTGTGTTTTCTTTCATTTGGGCTAAATCCCATAGTCAACAGAAATGCCTGCTGTTTCTGTGCAGTTTTTTTCCAAATAAGAGCAAGAAGGTTTGACCTACTAAAACTGCTCTGTTAAACACAAATAATAACCATGGGTGCTCTGTTCTACTCCAGAGACAGATGTGTGTTGCAGGTCTTTAAGGTATTTATAGACCTGGGAATCTCTGAGGCTGAAAAGGGTTGGAGAAGCATAAAATGTCTTTGTAAATTGTGTGTGATGATACTTCATACGCAGAATATTCCCCGAGAGTCTGTGCCACTCATGCGTCGTAGTCTCATCTTCCTCCAGCAGATCTTCTGATTTGTGTTTATTCTGGCGTACGGAAGTCAAGAAGGATAATGAGAGGATTCAGCATGTGTTTGTTTAGCGAGAGGAGGCAATAATGGCCTTTCTAACTCACTGCAGGATTTACTTCTCATGAATTAAAAAACAAAGTAAACTGATTATGGAAGAAATGGTATGTACCACTGGCTGCAGTCTCCCTTTTATTCCGTGTTTTCTGGATGCTCAGCTCTTCCTGGTACTAGGAAGTGCGGCGTTGAGCACCCAGACCTGAGCTCTGCAAACCAGGGATGGTGTAGTTATTTATTTACCCCAGCCACCCACCTCCCAGCAGCAGGACTGGTGCTGCCAACCGCTTCCCAGTTCATCACGGAATCCCTGTGGGGTGAATGAGCACGTGGAGAGGCGTTGCCAAAGCTGCCGATACACCCCTGATAACATAATTGATGTCAGCACTGGCTTTTAGGTCAGGTAGCAGGTAGAAGGGGCGATGAATGGACAAACCAACCTGCCAGGCGAGAAAGACCTGAAAGCCGAAACGGTCCTGGATGGAGGGAGAGGGTCTCCAGCATCGCTCGAGCACCACTCCGAGCCGGCCCCTCGCCGAGCCCCCGCAGCTCTTGTGCCTTCGCTTGCTCATCTGAGAAATTCAGCAGCAACTGCCAGCAGCGATGCGGCTCCCCACGAGTGCCTTGGGCTTTCAGTAGCGTGGCATCTGCCTACGTAGCACTCCATCCCAAAATGTATATCTGCTTATTAGTGTGATCACTGCAGCTGTCAGCCAGCGCAGAGGGGCTGCCTTTCTCCCTGTTTCCCCCAGCGCATGCACTCCCAGGCTGCATCCTCTTTTTTCACCGGAACCCCAGCGTGACATTTTTAGTTCTACTGAAACCAAAGGAGAAAAAAAATCTATTACAGCCTATCCTTCTCTAATGATGGCAGAACAATTTTTGCTACCAGCGTTTTCAGCGCCAGAGAGCAGATTTGAAAATGTAAGTCCTCTCCCATGTCTCTGAAAGAAGCAGCATTTCTTTAACAGTCGTCTCACGAATCGTGGTGGCCAGGAAGGATAATGGTCCATAACATATTCATTATTTTCAGGGCTGTGCGCTGAGGTTCTCCCACTGGTGATGTGACTGAAGATTTTTTGTTTTCAATCATGATGTGATAAAATACTCTGTGGCTCCAGGATGCCTTCCCTCTCAAACACGGAGTTTCCACAGAGCTGGGGACCTCTCTGGAGCGGAGCCGTTTGGCTCCTGTTGGTCCTCGGTAGGACTTTGATGTTAAATGCAAAACCTTAAATGCAGCCAGATCTCGACTAGAAGCTGGTACAGGTTGTGTAACAAGGACAAAGGAACGTGGGTGCAAAGTCAGCTCCGAAGAGCTGGCAGCTGGGTGGGAAATGTCACGAATCGTGTCGGTGGTAGCATAAAGGCTGGGCTGGGGTTGGATCTGTGATACCAGGGTCTGAGGGACCCTCAGAGCTGAGCTCCATTTCCCTTCCAGCCTGTAAACCTGCTCAGCTGCAGAAAAGGTCTTTTCTTTCCTTTCCCAGCACAGCCTGCTTTCTCGCTGCTGGCGTTTAAAATCACTCTTGGCTGTTAATCCGTGAAAGTCCTCATTAGAAATAAAATAAAAATATATATATAAGGAAAAGTGCCACTGAAAAGGTTTATGAGGCCGCAGTTTAAGCTACTGGCTTCTCCAAACTGGGGGGAGCATCTGTTTCTCATTTACAACTTGCCTGAGCCGGTAGCAAAACGACATCCCATCGGTCCGGCAGCGAGGTGGAGCGGGAGCATGGCTCCAGTCCTGGTGAGGGTGGCCCTCATTACGTTGCCATCCGGATGATTTTACTTAATTGCTAGGCAGGGTGGCAAAGGGCTTGGGATGCCAGTCTGGGATTTGGCAGAGGGAAGGGAGACGTCAGTCCGTTTTTGACTAAAACTTCTACTTTGGCTTAGGATTAATGATTTAGTGTCAGATACTTACAGGTACTTAGGTACCTGGTTCCATTAGATCAAAGCAAATTAGAGCTAAAGAGAATGTAAATACTTCTGACGGTCAGAGCCTTTGTCTCTCTATGTCGCTGTTCCTGGTGTATAAATTGAGGAAAAACTGTATCTCCCAGTGTGTTATGAAGAGATAATGTTTTGGACGTTGAGATCTTACGGGAGGAATGTCATACAATTGACAGTCTTTTTTTTTGCGTTATTTCTCACAGGGCCATTTAGACATCCAGGTTGTGCTTGTGGGGAACTGGAGACCTGCTCACGTGTAGAGTGATGTTGGCAGGGAGAGATTCCTTTTATTTTGCATCTAGCATCTTCCATAGCAAAGTCTTGAGCTACTACCGTAGTAAAACTTGCTACTAATTTACAATTTCATTATTTTGGACAGATAGTGGGAGAAGCGGAAACAAATCACGCTTTTTTCTTCTTAATGTTTTATTTGCCATGCTTAGTTTTCAGAGTATACAGTTTTGGAGGCAGCAGTGTTTGGCTCTTTTCTTTGCTCCTTTATTGCAATCACGCAGATGTTTGAAATGTTTTTGCATGGTTTTCAATGGTAAATTTAATAGACTGCTTCCATTTTCATGGTATTTTGTACACTCAGAAATCAGCTTTCAGAGACTGAGGAGCTATCCTTACACATTTTTTTTCACTACTTCGAGCTGAGAACTCCTGAGCCTTAACTTGTTTGTGAAATGACCACCAAGGATGAGGTACCATTCTTTATTGAATGCCCTTAGGCCAGTTTTGGAAGCCTTTAGGGTTCAGGAAGGAGTCGATGTCATTCCCTCAGGGAATGGTGAAGCTCCCACCGTGCTGGCGGGAGGGCTGGTTTGCAGCCGGGCGGGTGGATGCCAGCAGGTCTGTGGGAGCAGGACCTGTTCAATCTCCTCTTTCATGCAAGAGGCTTCAGGTCTTACTCAGGAAAGGCCTGAAGAGAAATGTCTTTGTGCTGTTTTGTGTCAGCCCTCCCTCCTCCTCCTCCTCCAGATTCC